TATCGAGATGCATAAAAAGCATTTTAAAGAGGAGACTCTGTACTTTCGTACGCTTTTGATCCCAATAAGCTACAATTTTTTGTTTATACCGTGCACCGTCGCAAACTCGAACCATTATTTTTCAATTTTGCATGCTCGCGCTTTGTCATCCGCCATTTTCAATAAATTTATTTGCAACATTGAAATAATTGATTCTTAAAGTAGAGATTTTTTAGCTTTCATTTCCATATTTTATAGAACTTTCTATCTTTATTATTTACAAAGTTATCGTCAGTTGAAATTTGATGAATTTTTCCCACATTTTCAGTGTACCGCTTTTTTTTCGGGTGAGTGTATATATATTGGTGTCTCTTCACACAAATAGTATTGATCTAATCGTATATTATTATTACTTTAGTTTTATAGAACAAAGTACAATTTATAAATATAAAAATGGATTATTTTTCAGAACTGACCGTCGTGAATAATATCTTACAACTATATTTTATATTATGAAGGAAAGTTCTAGAATAAATCTAGAATAAAGTCTTTGTTGAAATTCTTATAAAATATTTACCGAAACGCTATTCTATGTTGGCGAGAAATCAGACAATTCGTTACGGATCAACAGTAGCGTTCTCGATCTTTCTTCTTCAATCGATTGTTGGCTTCTATAGTCAATACTGAGGATTCGGCGAGTTTCTTTGGAAGTTACTCTGCACGCTTTGACTTTGCTGAAGAGGCCCAGCGGGGCTTGGTCTACCCTGGTCGCGGTATTGCGGCGGTCCATTGGGCGGACCCGGCGGTCCGGGTACTTTGCCATAATTTCCCCGCGAGGAACTCTGATAGCTACCGTATGCGGAATCGTCGCTACGTCTCGACACGTGGCCGTACATACTTTCGGGCCGTCTCGAACTCGCTCCGTTATCCGAGTTGCTCGATAGCGGTCCGTTCTGGTGCTGTTGTTGCTGTTGTTGTTGCTGCGGCGGCGGTGGCGGCGGGTGAGTCTGTATCGAAGACTGAGCGCTTTGAGTGGATTGCTGCGAATTCTGGCTGCTCGGCGGTGGCGCCGGTGCACGACCGTAGATGCTGGATCCGGTGGACACCCCGTAGATACCGTTCTCCCTGGTGCTGATATTCGTGGAGATACCGCGGATGCCGTAGATGCTCTGCGTGCACTGCTGCAGTTGATTTTGCATGTTCTGATTGGTGCTGTTGTGATTCTGCGTTTGGGTCGGCGGACCGCCGACGCCGGCGCCGGGTCCGGTCGGATTCTCGCGGTTTAAGCCATTTTGACAGCCGTTCTGACCCAATCTGATCGGATACAAGCTCTGCGCAGGCACCAACGGGCCCGGCTTCGGGATCATCAGACCGTCCCGTGGACCTGACGTCGACTTTGCATAGACGCTCTGCGAGCGATTCAAATTAGCACGCGTCAACGGCGGCGATTTGCAGTAGAGCGACTTCGTGCCACCGTAGATGGATTCGACGCGCTCCAACGCAGACGGCGGTGCGCTGTAGATCGACGACGACGCACCGGCGACCGGGCGATAGGTCGCGTACGCGCCTGGGAACTTAGGAGCATTGGGTTTATCCAGATCATCGTAGGTGTCCTCGTCCGATCTCATGGACGAGTTGTCGCCATCGTCTATCTCGCGCGAGTCCTTTGTTCGTTTGGGACTCAGAACGTATTCGTGAAGTAGAGCCGCCACGGCGCCTCCCGACAGCGGACCTACCCAGTACACCCAGTGATTCTCCCAGCGATTCATCACGAAAGCCGGTCCCAATGCGCGCGCTGGATTCAGAAAAGGGCTCTGAAAAATGTAAAAAAAGGAAAGAAATTAATTGCAGCAGTGGTAGAGATTTTCAAAAACATAATTCTTATTGTTAAATAAATTTGACCTGAGAAATTGTGAAATTACAAATAATTGCCATATTTCAAACAAATTGTCATATTTTAACAATCATATTGATATTTTTATTTTTTTTGTACAGGATGCAACACAAAAGCAATGAGCAAGAAGATACAGGAATTTTGCAAGCAGTGAGCTGTTCGATTTTGCCAGTGCAAGAATCAACATGTGTAGAGTGATGGTTACGATATTTTTCGTTTTGGAGTACATTGTACAGTCGTTTCAGAGCAGGTGAGTCCAGGATCAAGTTCTTTCTTTTATCTTCCTGCCTACCGTTCCCCGCTTCCCCACCCTTTCCCCCTGTGCAACGGCAGGTGCTCTTTAAAGATGCGGACGTCGGCCCGATTGGAAAGAATCCGAGAGACGCTTTTGGTTAGAGTGGTCGGAAGAGAGAGCATGTGTATGCATAGCGGAAGAAAGCAGAGAACGCTGGTTCTTTTTCCAGTATATATTTACAGAAAGAAGAATGTTTTTTGCGCGATAAACGTTTAGTATAGATTTAATATAGATTTAATATAAAGTGACAGACAAGGATATTTAGGAATTTCGCATTGCAAGCAGTAAACTTGTTCGATTTTGCTGAGAATGCGAAATTTAAACCATAGATAAAATTATAAATATTATTTTATTAAATTTTATAAATTCTAGAAAATTAAAAATATGCAATTTTAAGTGAAATTACTGAAGCAACCGAAATACATTCTGTAATAATGTTATGATTATCATCATTATCATATATATATTATATTTATCACCATTATTCGGTTGCTTCAGTAATTTCACAATCATTAGCTTATCATTAAGTGAAATTACTAATCTAATGATTATCATTAATATACATACATAGATAATTATTATACATGCATACATAGATAATTATTAGATTATTATATAATTATAAAAAAGTGACAATTCTGAAATGTAATAATTGGCAAATTATTGAATTTCAATTATCTTAATAGTTCATAATCGCTTTTTAAATGATATGATTAAATTATTATTATATAAATAAACTTACGGAAACAAGAGTGGCCGCTGTATAAGCTGCAGCCAAAACTGCAGAAGATTTTGATGAAATCGCAGGCGGCAGTCTAGATGAATCCGCGGAGAAATGAGCTAGCACGATTAACACTGATAGTGCCATCTCGACCAAAAGCTTCTCAATCGGGCCTACTAATCGACTAGGGGATGTAAGAGTCTGAGTATTTGAAGGCATGGTTACTCTGAAATTAGAAAAAAGAGATGCGATATATTATTTCAGTTGTATAATACAAGATTAAATATTAATTGTTGCGATATTCCTATTTGAATACAATAATCAATCATATTGCGAATAACTAATTTTAATTTGCTTGAATGTGATGCGTATTATATTGAATATATTGTGATTTTTGCGACGCTTTCTTGCAAGATAATTTGAAACGCGTTAAAAAGATAAAAACTAAATCTTTCGGACGACAGCATATTATCGATCACCCGTCAAAAATAATCACATATGGTCTTCTGTAACAGTAGTGTCACTATGCAGCCGCGATATAATATACGATGATTTTCCTATTGAAACTTGCCACGAGACATGCACCCTGCGTACGAACCCCCTGCGGTAAGTCGGTCCCAGCGGTGTAATGTTTATATTAGCTAGTGCATCCTCGAGCCCTTAAACGTGACCCCGATGTTCCTCTCATGACATTTCCCTTGCATAAAATTCTCGTTGATTTTCTCAGTTCATATAATCATATGGGGTCGCAGAGATGTGACCTCCAATTGTCTCCCATGAGTGTTCGTACAGTTCGCATTTCGCGCACTTTAAAAACTCAAGTTTGTTTATTAAAATACTTCGATAATGAAAAGTAAACATGTTACATACTGCCACGGTGTGTGATGTAATCCAGTGGTCTTACGATTGAAGGCTGTAGTGCAAGAATAACTTTTTAAAGAACTTGAAAAATTTAATCTGCGTTTGATTTGCTTAAATCTTCCAATACGAGAACAGATTATTGTGTTACAAAAACAAAAATGTTAATTCTTGTACTTTTTTTCATTTATTCGAGTTCCAAGGATTTTTTTAATTTTTACTTAACGATATTTACTTTATTCTTCATTATTGTCTTCATCCTTTATTCTCATAATGAGCTCTGCCATTCGTTTAAACATGCATAGATTATGCAAGTGACTTCCTCGAGTCAAGATTCTCAGGTACAGCATTCACAAGTTTCCATAAAATTGCCATAATCATATCTCCTGTATCATCATCTGTCGTACTTCCTTTGCAATTAATCAGGGTTTGCATGTAACATGGAGAAAACACGCAAAGGTTGCGCTTATAATTTTAATAATCTTGGCATTTAATCTATTCAACGTCAAGAAAAACGGAATAAATACATAAGTAGAATAAAAAAAAAAAAATGATCAAATTGTTCTCATCTAAATCTCACATCTTCAACTTATTATTATATTGATAAGTATCATCCTCTGTTGTCGAAAAAGTTACTTCTTTTTCATTTTTTAACTTAAATTTTAATGACAAATTTTATTTTACAAATTCAGAGTCCATTTTCTATCTTCTCAAAATTAACATCGATTTTCTCCCAACATTTTACACGTCAGCCATTAACAAATTCATTGTATTTTCTCGCGAAACTTTCACGGGAATACACCTGTACGGCTGCGGCCCTTCGCAACTTTGCCCTTCGAGCTATTCGAACGCAACGATCGCGATTAATCTCACCACTAAATGCCGGGTTCGAATTGCGAACTCGCCGCCCCTCGTATTCTTCCTCGTCATCAGACACGATACACCCCGTTTCGACACCGCGCTCGCAATGCAAATGACAGTATTCACCGCCCTTTCCTTCCTCTCTTTGCCGAGAACGAGCTTGTCACAAGAGAGCGAATTGATGAAATCAGAAATGCAGATCATGACCGCACAATTGGGATCAACTGCGGCAGCAGACGAGAATCCCCGGCCGGATAAGGGAGAAAAGAATGGTAGCATTTTTATATTTACACGTATGCCTCCGCGTGATAAGCGGATTTTTACTTCTTCTGCGAAAAAACCATCCGGCAATGTGCATTTCCCACGTGAATACGTTACGGTGCAATTGACGTGCGAATGCACGGGAACGATAACGACGTTTTTTTTTTTTTCACTGTGCAACTAAAAATGACTCTGTTCAAAAGCTCCTCCCCCTCGCTGTTATTCTCCCGAATATGCATAATATAACGTACGATATTCAACGATTCATCCGCGAATTCTTTTTCTGGCTTTTCCTGCAATTGTTAAATAATAATGGCATGAATTGAATGCAGAGTCTTTAAACTTTTGTAGCATACTTACAATTAGCAAGATTTAAGCAATCAACTGCTTTCCACTTTCCCTTCTTTTAGAGTTATTTTTATCACAAGTAGAAAGCGAGAAAAGCCTTTTCCTATTTGTTTCTCACAAGCAATTTCCGCATTTTTTCTGTGCATCTAGAAAAAATGTCCTAAAATTTTTCTTCAACGAAAAATGGTTTCTATTTTTCATACTTACAATATTTTGCCTCTTTAAATCATAAATCGGAATGAAACTTGTGTGTGCTGTAAAATCAAATCTCGTTGCTACATTTGATACTGAATATAACTTTGAAAAGGTGGATGTTAATTCTCTTCGCGCTTTGAAATCATCAAACTTTATACATTTGCAACTTTTGTATTTTCGGACTTCGGACTGATATTTCGGCATTTTATTTTTATTATATCATTTTGCATATGACGCGATTGAACACGCTGGCTGCTAGCTTTCACAAGAAAGTGTCACTTCGCATGAAAGGCGAGTCGAATGCATGCGGTAGCAGCTTCGTGAGAGAAGTTCAGCGAGGTTTCAGCCTGGAGGCGGGCGCGTTCTCAGGACTCGTCCTGCACGATGAAAAGCGTGTGGTCATCCAGGCGAGACATGATGGAGGAAGGTTTAATCTTGCGTGCACTTGACTCGAGAGCGCAGCCAGTGCGCCCGATGCAACCTGTGCTCCGTTTTCGCAATTCACACGAGGGGCGAGAGACGCCTCGGCGCAAACCCCCCAGGGTACATCGGTGCGCAGTTTTAAATAAATTTCAATTCAAGGGATGAGCGGGCGGAGGAGGAGGGGGGGGGGGGGGGGGGGG